AGTCATTATTTAAGTTTACAAATTTTAAGTTTGTTTGGTGTAGTATTTTTGGATCAGATAACCTGAAAAAAGGCTTGTGCTATTTTGTGATTATTGTGTCCTTAAGCCCCTGTTTGACATGCTAAAAAAAAAAATTCAATTGTGTTTTTTTGGAGAATGTGCAGTTAAAAGGTAGAGAGAAATTTTGGGTTTACGTATATAATATTTTATTGTGTGAATGTGTAGTTGAAAATGAATATGTCAAATAAATTAAATTAAAGTAAATGATGTCAAACAGGGGCTTAGTATTAACGATTATATCTTAGCCGCTGTTTGATGCTCATTATTTGGCCAAAATAATGTTCTGAATAGTGATTTTTAGACAGAACGTGTGGTTAAAAATGAAGAAAATTTTTGATTTATGCGCTGAATATTTTATTATGTAAATATATGATTGAAAATGAATATATAGAAAAAAAAGTTTTCAAATAATGGTCGTCAAACAAGAAGCTTTAGGTGATGCAGGGACTGAAATTTGTCGAGAAAGAGCCATCTGCTGTTTTACATTTCGCCTCTCTAACAAGAAGCTTCATTTGATATTCATTTGAAATTGGGTCGGTTCACTTCAGAAGTTTGTCCACCGTAATACATCACACGTCTAGGATTGATTGTCGAGCCCCAACGATGCATAAGGGCCTGCCAAGTTGGTCCACGCATATAATTTTGAAATTTAAAGTAAATCAAAATAATTGTTACTCTCTCTTTCTGCTCTCGATCAAAAATCTGTTTTTTATTTTTGAAATGATTTTTTGTTTAAAAATAATAATCAATTTTTAGCTGTAAATCTTTGTTTCATTTCTCCATTTTTTACACCATCTGTTCATTTTCTTCAACATAAAATGTCATTTAAATCATATTAAATTCACAAAAGGTGAAAAATAACAACATAGACTAGTTAGGACAAGTTAGATCAGCTTGACGTTCTTTCACACGCGTGCGCGGGGGCAAATTGTTTAGGGTATGTTCTTTTTTCCATTTTCAAACCGTTTTCTGTTTCCGATTTTTCAAAATAGTGAAAACGCGTTTTTGAAAACAAGTTAATGTTTTCAGTTATAATCAAGTCAAAATTTTCAAAATGCGTTTTAAATGTTTTCAAAACAATTTTTCAAAATGTCAAAAAGAACACATTTTCAATAATTTTAAAATGAACACTCAAAACACAAAACTCAAAATGAATTCAAAACTAAAAATACAAAACTGAAACACAAAGAGAACAACTCCTTAAAATTTTGTCTTCCCCAAATTTTCCCAGTTTCTTTTGTTTTAGCCTAAATTGTTGTCATAAATTAAGGACCCATTTGACATAATTTTAAAAAAGAATAAAAAAATTAGATTTTTTTTTAAATTCAAAAGTTATTTTTGAACACGTTTGATCAATTAAAAAAAAATACCCCTGATCTAATATTACACTCCCTATAAGCTAATTTGAAAAGGAAAAATAAGTTCTTTTAAAAATTAATTTTCCAAAAAATTCGAAGCAAAACACAAGACAAATGGAAAATACTATCAAAAAGGAAAAATTAAAAATCTTGTCCATTCACTAACGTGTACGAAGCATTCCTTGCAACAAGATGCTATCGGTTCATTATCGACTAAATTAAACAAATTGCTTTTGTTGCCATTGCCAACATCATCATTTCTAAAACTAAAGTATTGCTACAAAAAAGATGTGCCGTTAACGATAACATAAATATTCATAAAGCTCTTCAAAAGGCGAATATAGGAAAAAAATTCTTTTACAATTCCCAGCCAGTCGGAGCAGCAGGAGCTGGAGGCATTATATCAACTCCAGGTGCTGCCATTGGTGGCGGGGCAGCCGAGTCCCATCCATCAGCAGTTACTCCTGCATTTATTGGATTCTCAAATATTCAAACTCACCGATTTTGCAGTTAAAAACCAAAAATATTGAGAAATGTAATTTGCCCGGGAAATTAAAAACCAATTCCTTGGTACAAGAGAGAACACTAACCAGCATCAGCAGCAGTCCAACCACCGGCAACTGGTGGCATGGCACTTGCCATGTCAGGAGCAAATTGAGCTTCTGGAATCTGACCACTAGACCAATCCATGCCACCAAGTGCGCCAGCTGTATAATCACCATAATCTGGGAGAGCGGGTACTTCCTCCTCTTCTTGTTCCTTGGCGTCCTCGGGCTCTCTGTAGAAAAACAGATCAACCTGCCAACAGATAATAAATCAAATGTTAAATGTGCATCAACGAACTGAGATATCATTGAATCCCCCTTTCCCATATTTTCTCACGCGGAACTTTTAGACATCTACATTGCTACCTAAGTGTAACATGATGAACCAAACTTAAATGTGGAATCAGATCCCTCTTGGCAGAACAGAGTCCTCGTAACCTCCAAAGGAGGTCAAATTTTAGCCACTTAAACAAGAGAACAACCAACACTATATATAGCAGTTACCATGATATCCCACTTGTGTCCTGGAGCAATGACGCCACGCATTTGAAGAACCATCCTTGCTAAGAGCCAAAACAGACAACCAATGCTGTGCTTCCCCTTGTTATTGGCAGGGATACCAATATCAACATAGCGCATAGGGGAATCAGTATCACAAAAAGCAATGGTGGGGATGTTCCCAAGTGCTGCTTCTTTAATTGGCTGCAGCAGGTTCGCATTAAGCACCAGAATAATGATTAACGTACGGTGTTTGCAGAACTATGTAATAGAACAGATGCGCCAGGAATAAAAATAGAAACAACTGACCTGGTGATCGGTCCTTGGATCAGTAAGAATCAAAAGACGTGGCTCACTGAACGAGGTTTGAAGCTGGTTAGTGAATGTTCCGGGAGTATGGCGTCCAGCAATTGCATGAGCCCCAGTGTACTGGGCAAACTTCAAGACAGCCCTTTGACCATATGGCCTTGCAGACTGAACAATGATATCCTGAGGGTTCTCGATAGCTACAATTACCCGGGCTGCCATCTGAAGCTTTTCCCATGTTTTGCCAAGGTTGATGATGTAAATTCCTAACAGCAAAACAGAATGTTCATTATTAAAAACATTTATAAACGAAATTCTGAACGCAACATGTTGGGCACGTACATCCCTCGGAGTCTCGGACATGTCAAAGGCACAGATGGGAGGGAGCACGACTCGCTTATGGTTAGAATTAATTGAATATGTAAAACAGCGGAGATTGTTATGGATTAACGTTGAATGTTGAATTAACTCGGCTGAATGGCATTAATGTGCAGCCAAAGCCCATATAGTTTCGTTTAGTTTTGACTAAACAAAAAAATCGAAGGAAGCTGACTACAATAGCTTAGAACAAACATCTTTGGTACATTTGATTTTTACTAAATATCATCTCATCACACATCAACCATAACAGAAGAACTAACCCAATATAAATACTAACAAATTTAAGTACAAATAACTTAGACGAAGTACTGTAGCACCGAGAACGTTATCAAGAATTTTAAACAGGACGATTAGTCAAGGAAAAATCATTGACAAACCAGCTCAAAAAGATGTAGCAAAATTAGACAACTACAGTGAAGACCTTGGATTGCTAAGGCCGCTATGGGGAAACACAAATTAGAAATAACATGGACAAAAAGTGCAAGGAAATCATCCAAATACATTTGATAAAATAACGATATCAAAACATTATCTAATCATATTACAACTATAGATACAGATTCATATAAATCAGTGTATCTCCGAACAAAAGACATTCGTCTAATCAACGTAATGTTCCATTTGGAAATCACAGTTTTTGGTGTTGCACATTATTCATCAAATTGAAAAACAAGAATCCTATAGGATAAATTCGAATTCACGACTGAAAAAATTCACACTAAAATAGATCTCACTATGCATACACACACATCACCGTCTAATAAATTCAATTATAAATGCAAATATACGCATATGTTGTAATATATGCACATATATTTACCGTCGTTGCGTCGCTTGAAGACGTAACGTTCCATTTGGAAGTCACAATTTTTGGTGCCGAGGTGAACTTCGGCAGCCAACATCATCTGAATGTCGGCCTCTTTAGTTGAGAGAATCCTTGGTCCGGTCGCCATTTTTTGGTGCTACCTCTTGCCCTTTTACTTTGCTAGAGTTTTTGTTTTCTCTGGTTCTGAGGGACGGAAGTAAGAGGAGAGTCGATATGCGAAGGCTTCTGAAATATATTCGTTCAAAACCCTAGTCAAGTTTTGCCGATATTGGGCTTTATGGGCTTTAGGTAGTGTCGGAGTCAATGGGCTTTAATATATGGGCTGGTCTAGTACTAGGAGTTGAAAATTGTTATATGGCAGGTAAAAATTCTGTTGGTAAAGGAGGTCTGTGTATGAGCCATTGTATCATTGTTAACAAAGGTGTGTGCGATACTATTCACTTTTCACCGATCGAAAATATGAGAACTGAGTAAATCAAAGATTCAAAGGAGGTTCATGATCAAGGGAAAAGATGCACGAGTAACAATAACTTTGAAATGTATTGATTGTGTTTGAAATGACGTTTGACGAAATTCAAATAAAAGACTTACAGTGGATAATACTCAAATATGATGAAGGGCATAGTAATATACGAAAATGCTCCGGGGAATTGAAAACAAGCATAAATCCAAAAATTCTTGAATAAAATAACCTTCGAATTGCCGTTGAATCCATGGACAATCAAGAGACAACTTGATGAATTGAAACATCAACGCAAAGTGCAAATTAAACCAAGTAAATAAGCAAATAGTTCTAAAATTTTGAGTACAAGAATGCTCCATAGCTTAATTGGTGGTTCATAGTAATACATGCGTCATAATAACAAGTGTGAACGAGCCCTTCGAAATGGAAGTGCATTTTGATTAGGGATAACAATATGATAGGACAAGTCATAGCCATCCCCTTTCATACGTGGTTTTTTTTGGAGTTGGAGTGGGACTAGAATCAAAAATAATATTTTCTAAGTCCTCATAAATTGATTGTTTTAAATTAATCCCCTCCATGTCTCCATTATTTCATATTCACCCTTGTAAATTATTATTCCCATTTTGCCTTACCATTTACAAAGCCCACGACAACTTCAACCACAATGAGTTCTCTCTTAAAGTCTATCGATCCAAAAGAAGAAAATTCTATTGATATTTAGAAATTTTGATTATTAAATTTAGAGGTGAACATAGTTCTATTTGGTTCCAATTCAAAGAGAAACGAGAGCCAATGATTTTTTTATAATGGAATCAATATGTTTTTTTAAGGTATGAACCAAATCGGATTCGACCCATTCGGTTCTGGTTTGATTCTGGTTTCATCACTTAAATGTTTAAATGAAAAATGCAAATTAAAATCTATTATACACTTGATTACTTTTTCATTAAGATATTGATCAATTTCTTAATGTTATGGAAAGGAGTCACTACGAAGAAGTTTCGGGATTTACAAAGAAAGCTCCGTTCGTCGATAACACATGCCTAATAAAAATAAATAAACATCAAATTCAAATAAATTTGACTTCAAATTATTAATAATCAAATGAATACATATACATCAAGTTCCATCCACATACAAAATATTGTCTAATAACGATGATTCACTAATGTAGACAAATGTACCACCGACAAAAGTTGATTTATTTGGTGTGATTCACTGATTTGTGATATATCTTCTATTTATTAAAAGTGGCTATGTAACGGAATTTCTTGTTTTTAACGAAAAAACTAACGAAATTTGTTGTTTTAACGGACTATGTAACGGAATTTCTTGTTTTAAACAGGCAGCTGCACATTCTTTCAGTGTTTTTATCATAACTTTGTATTCCGATATCCGATTGAGGCGATTCAA